TGTTCACCAGTGACATATCATATCTGAAATCCTTTCCACTCAGTATTTTGTTATTCTCAAAATTTTGGCTGCATAACAGCTGGAAGTCATGAGGCTCAGCCTTGGAGGCCCTCGGCAGCTAATGGATGCCCCATACGCACACACACACACACCATGACTTACACACCACTGTGTTCACTTTAGTTTGACAGAACCATGAAGTTTTAAAGAGTGGCACGGGACACACACAAGTCTGTTTTAGAGAAACTGCACTTACGACAAAGAACAAATGACTTCACTGCACATCTTCAGAAATCAGAGCTGGAGAACTGACTGTGCTGTAGTGCTGATGCCCGTGTCTGACCTGTAAGTGTAGATGAATCTCTATGACGACGGTGAGAGGAGAGTTAGAGAGTTAGTTAGATGTGCATATAAATACAGACCCTATGGCGATTGTATGAATAATGTATTAATGCAGCACACAGTGTCACATATTGGCAGTCACACACGGGGATGAGGCTAATTTCAGGTTCTTGATACCTAGAGGGCTTCAATTTTTGATGCTGGACAAAAACAAATAAAACACTTCAGTTTTGGGGGCGGTTTATTTTGGCATTTTGTTTTTCATTTCCCATGAATGTTGAAGTGTCAGTAGCCCTGCATTGAACACGAGCAAAACGAGGATTGAAACATAAGAAGACATGCAATGGTGTCTGCATTTTTAGGTTTTTGTATACCGTTTTTAGATAGACATCTGACAATGATGATTTCTCCAGCCACTTCATATTCTAAGCCCCTCCAACCAAGAATGATTCTCTTATTGCAAATAAATTATCCTTCGGAATAAAAAATATTCCAAGCTGTAAAGAAGATGTTGGTTTACCAAGAATGCTTACTTCATGCCTAAAGACACAAATACAAGTCTACTTTTGAGGTAAGCACTCAGAAATAGCCAAGTATATGACCTTGCCTAAACCTACATTAACAACAGGGCTTCTGTATTATTGTGCTGTCCTCCCAAGAACAAGAACCGTAGCAATTGTTTGTGAAAATGCCTAAAGCGAGCGGTCTATATCTGTATGTCTCAATGTTTTGTTTTCTTGACAAAGCATGTGGATCGAGGGTGTTTTATGTTGCAGGAAAGGTAAAGATATAGGATATTGTTGTAGAGCCTCAAAGGTTCACATTAGGAGGAGGTCTGGGTGTTTGAATTAATCCACACAGCACACAAACTGCTGTTCTGGAAGACACTGACACATGACATCCTGCTGATAAGGGCATCAGCTCAAAGAATCTAATATCGGCTCTTTTAAAAGACAAAGACAAATGTTTTATTTTGTCACTTGACATTACCATTATTGCATTTGATTTAGCTTTAAAAAGTCATGCATTATTTATTTATCTTCCATTCCACGTGATCATACATGTTTTTCCCATCAACCCAGTGTGCAGATAATTGAAGAAAATTGTTGCTTTAGAAATTGGAATATAGTTACTGAATTTAGGATGGGTATTATTTTACATTCCTCCTTCAAATATACGATTACATGTATTGCTTTGTAAAGTGTTGCTCTTAAGGCGTATGACCTCAAGGTTAGGGATAGGTTTTTATTGTCGTTTCAATCAAGACAAAGAAAGAAAGTTTGTGAAATGCTTTGGCCCGTGTATTTCTTTATACCCAGTTTGCAGCTGCAGATTGCACAAGTACTAATGGGAGAATATGTCCTGTCTTGACTTTCCGTTTTCCTGCACAGTAAGATGTTGGCAGAGCTGCACACACCTGCATGTTCAGTTGAGACATCAGTAAATACTTAAAGATATTTAAAACGGGTCACAGGATCTTTGTTAGAACTTGCTTTTTTGTCTGCCTTGAAGGTTTACTTGACTTTTTCTTTTCTTTTCATTGGAATTAGGCTAAAAATATCTCTAACGTAACTGTACATGGGAAAAGCAGGAGAGCATTATTGTTTTTCGTCATTCGTTTTATACTTTATGCTCATTATGTCGGTGCTGCCGGGTGAATACCACACACATGCAAAAAGTAAGCTCTGCACCTGTGAAAAATTGTGTTCATTCACTCACTGACACCCAGTGTGGTTTTGCAGACACATACTGGAAGTATGAAGGCCACATGATTCATTCAACACAGGAGAGGGAAAATTGCATCCACAGACTTGTGCAGAATGCAGTGTTAGAGTTTTATCAACAAAACTGATGTGTGGGTCTCAAAATGGAAGAGAAGTACTGAATGTTGCAATGCTGCAGGGAGCTTTTACTGTAGGAACTGTGACTAAGTGAGGTTAATGCTGACTGCTGTAAGAAAGAGGTAAACAGGTCACGGTTTTTATACTAAAGCAAATAGTATCAGCTGACTGTTGCAGCAGTCTGCATGCCTCGCCAGCGTGACTACACTAAAATCTTGACATTCATCATATGTCCCTAATTATTAATGAACAACTTAACCTAGCTAGATTTAGAATTGATGTATAATGCAAAACCAAACAGATGCTGGTTGTAACTTTTAACCTGTGAGACATGCAAAATGTCACAAAGCCATTCTTTTTTCCCCCCCTAATGTCTTTTTGTGTTTTTATAGCCAGACAAAAACAAGTCTGCAGTCCAACCTCTAATTACAAACTAATCTGATTGCCATCTAAATTCTGTCTCTTTGTATGCGCATCAACATTAATTTCTGTTGTAGAGAATGCAGTATTATTGGAAGCAATAACAGGCATGTGATTAATTGTATGAATAATTATTCCACCATAAAGTCGAAGCTGTACTCTATTTGAATGTTGTACATTATTTGTATAACACCAGATTTTAGAAGTAAAGTAGTGCAGCTCTTGAGCCTCGGACCCCCCTGTTTTTATGCAAATTAAATAAAGATGTAAAGATTTATGCTGCAGTTTCAGTAACTCTGCTTTTATTTCGTCAATTAGTGCTGCTTGGTAAATGATGTTTTAGCCACACTTAAAGAAAATGAGGATGCTGCAATTTCATGTCAAATGTGTTTATTCAACTTATCTGTCTTTTCTTAATGAGACATTAAATGTTCAGCCACGTGGTGCAAACCAGCCTACAAATGGAGAGTTCTTTACCCTTTGTTAGTTGAGGGATGTGGGGTTTTTTTAGGTTATTGGCTGGGTAGTGCCTCATTACCCAACTAACATCCACTGTCTGCATGCATGCTGTTCTTCATGTTTCCTTCTATCATTAACTGTCTGTCTTTCTGTTATGCAGAAGCTGTTTGTCCTTACGGGACCCTTACTGCATCTGGCTCAAGTCGGGCAGCTGTGTCACAGTTTCACCTGGTTTCAGGTAAGTCACACGTGCAGTGAGTAACAACAATTTTTATAGCTTTAAAAAAACACTATTATAATCATTAGGCGAGCGCTGGCTTTGAAATCAATCAAAGCTGCTTCACTGCTGTGTTGTTTGTATCAGAAATTGCCAAAAGCATTTAGTCTAATGAGGTTCACTGCAGTGCTGATTTAAAATTATTAGCTGTCTGTTTCATTGCTGTGATGCATACATTTAATGTCAAGTGAAAGATCTTTGCTTGAATGGCAAGCTGCATAATGTAGGCATTTAATTGTTAACATCTCTACAAATTTTACAATCCTCAGTCATATTTTTGGCACCTGTGCCAGAGTCTGCAGCGTGTTGCTGTAGTGCAGTTTGCTCCATTACAGTCATTTTTAGCGCTATGTAGAGATTTGGGATAGTAACTGTTTCTCTTGCTCATGTCTAAAATTCAAAGTGCTCTGAGTAGCGTCTAAAACAACAGCCTGACAGCAGAACACTGTGACATCATTATCAGATTTGAAGACTCAGTGATTATGAAATGATACACGTTTCACTGATTCACTGGATTCCAATCTGTTTGCATTATACTCAACATGGTCAAAGGTCAGCTTTGAGTCAGGAAATTTTGGTTAAGCACATTATTAATTAAAGTGATTATTAATTGCTCTCCGGATGTGAGCAGTGTCGCTAAAAAACAAAAAGGCTGCATTACAAATCTATGTAAATGGTTATGAGACAAGTGCCTTAAACCAGCATGTTGTTGAATGGTTAGCAGGGGCCAGAAGTTTAATTACACAACATCCTATACAAAAAACACTGTATTGTTTACTTTAAACATTAAACTACTGAGGCTATAACTTTAGAAAAAAAGTATTTAATACAAAATGATGCTAATTTTGTGAATTATAATCTCATTTAGAGTGAAATTCAGAATAGAAAAAAAGATTGATTCACAGTCTGGCTATCCTGTTATTGAAAAGTCACAGTGTCCCTGAGTTTCTCAATCAGATCAACTCTGCTGTTGGTTTAGTCTCAGAAATCAAAGCTTGATGCTTCAGAACAGACGTCTGCTAACTACTAAGCGGTTGGATATTGATTCTGTGAATTAACTCATAAACTGATCCTGTGCAGTTGTAAATTCAAGCTACTTATTTTTTTAATCTTTTACTTTGAATTCTAGTGGGGATTCAGATCTGTTGAAGGATACAAAATGCACTCATTTACGTCTTTCTAATACCAGCTTGGCCTTCCAAACTGCCTTAACCCTCTCAAGGCAGGCGTTGCTGATTTGCAACAGTTAAAAAATAACAACCTGATTACCCCACATACATTTTATGAGGTTTTTTTACTCAGAAGTACCACTGCAGGACTTGGTCGTGCATTAGCAACAAAAAGTTTAATTTGAGCCTGAGAGGGTTCATTCTTTATGGCACAGATTCAACAAGGTCCTGGAAACATCCCTCGCAGATTTTGCTCCATATTGATATAATAGCATCACAAAGACTTGTTGGCTGCACATCCATGATGCAAATGTCCAAATTCCAACACAGCCCGAAGGTGCTCTGTTGGATTGAAATCCGGTAACTGTAGTGGCCATTTGAGTATAGTGAACTCATTGTCATGTTCAACAAAAAAGGTTGAGATGATTGAGCTTTTTTGACATGGTGCATTATCTTTTTGAAGGCAGCCATAAACCCATAAGACCCTTGTCCTCTGACCTCTGGCATCATCAAGGTATTTTCAGCTAGAGAACTGCAGCTTACTGGATATGTTTTCTTTTTCAGACCATTCTCTGTAAAACCTAGAGATTGTCGTATGGGGAAAAATACTCAGACCGATTCGTCTGGCCTCAACAACTATACATGTGAACTACCTTTTTTCCCCAAATCTAATGCTCTGTTTGACCTTCAGTTCTTTTTCACATTGTCTTTGTGACTGATTACATTGGCTTCCTGTTATGCGACTGGCTGATTCGATATCTGCATTGCTGAGCAGCTGAACAGTTGTACTCAATGAGGTAGCATATCTTAGTAACAAATATATCTATCATTAACACTAAGCTGCTTTTGGCAAATGAGTGCTAGTACAAGGCGAAGCTATTAAGGGAATAAGCTGACCTTGGTCTTTATTAATGCAGGGTCATTCTGCAGTTTATTTCAGAGGGCACTGCAATGAACTGTTAGTTGACATTGGTTTTCTGGCTCCACTTCAGTGAGTGGCGGTCCAACCAAAACTAAAACATACTTTAAAAGTTAAAAGCCCTTCATGTCGTAAAAGTAATTTTCTGATCCCATCTATAATAATGAATCACCCAAACAAAATTGTGCAGATTTGCTTCATAATCAAACACTCCAGGAGGTTTCAGCTGTTAATTCTTCCCCGGACGAACATATAGTAATTAGTGGGAACCGCCACTGTGGTGTTTGGTCAGTCTGAAAGCACTTGGGAGGGCACAGCGATATAAAGGCATTATTAGTTTCTTAACTCCCAGGCACAGAGGACAGGTCCGCAATTTAGTCAATAATGTGCAGCCAAACAGGAAGAGAAGCAATAATTTTTTAATCTCATTTCACTCCTCAAGTGAGTTGTTGAGCACTGCACGGATCAACTTGACCTGCTGGGGTGATGTGCTCTTGACAATCAATAGCTAATCTACGATGAGACAAGTGGGCAACATTAACATGATGAATTTGTGATCATCATTTTGCCGGACTCTCAACATGTCTCACTTTTGTTTATTGTACTGGACGTGTTAAATCTGTGTAATTGGGTTGTTGATGGTGAAAACGTGGTGGGTGAGAGGCAGACAGGTCAGCAGAATTAAAATCCAAATATATTTCTTTGCCCTTAGAAACTGGAAGGAAACTTTATATGTGTTAAAGCTGCAAGCGTAGGATCTGTCAGGTATATTATTAAACTAAAATCACAAAAGAGTTTGTTTTACGTGGGTTCTCCCCGGGTGTCCTTCCTCCCACAGTCCATAAACATGCAGTAGTGGGGATAGGTTAATTGGCCAGTCTAAATTGCCCATAGGTGTGAATATGTGAGTGCAAATGGTTTTGTGTCTGTGTGTTAGCCCTGCGACAGACTGGCGATCTGTCCAGGGTGTACCCCGCCTCTCGCCCTATGACAGCTGGGATAGGCTCCAGCGACCCTGGAAATGATAAGCGGAAGCAAATGGATGGATGGAGTTTCTTTTAGCAAGTAAAATCCACCCATCCATCCATCGATCAGTCCATCAGAGCTCAAAGCTTTTCAAGATTTGTGTGATCTTGTAGCACTGAAATAACTTGTATAGTATAATGTTCTGCTATACGCGCTCCTCCAGTTTTGGCTAATGAATACATCTTTACTCATAATACTTTTGGTGAGGCCAGTTTTTCCACACCTCAGTATAGTACTAGGCAGAAAAACAATTCTGGTGCCATTACTGCCAACCTATTTGGCTCTGCCATTAAAGGGAAAGTTAAGGTTTGCAGTAGTGCACCAGTAAAACCTGCTGCTGCAGCTCAGTTTGTGCTCCAAATTTAATCTACGCCCATTTTCCTCTGTCCCAGTATGTTTGAATATTAAGACAAAGATTTTTATGCTTCATCTATTTCTGTTGTGCGTTCCTTCCCGGTGTAAAGGAGTAGGCAGTTAAGATCTTGAGAGACACTGGGGCACTGCATCTGATTCTCCCTTTCACTTTGATGTGTGATGTGGCTACAACTGTTATGCAAGAACACGAAATTGAACCTAGCCTGTGGTTTGGTTACTGGAGAGGTTGCAAGGTGTACCCGGCATTACCCGTGGAGGAGGCCGACATAATTAAGCAGAGCTGGCGCTTCTCCCGTGTGGCTTAGGGCAGGAAGCAGGATGCTGTGTTGATTCATTCGGTTTGTTTTGACAAATAAAAAATGAAACATGATTAATTTATTTGCAGTGATGCTGATTATAGGACCTCAAAAATGTGCATCTAAATTGACCAGTCTTTGTATTTGTAGCTAGACTTTTGTGCTGTAGTGTACTTGCTAACACAGGGTCTGCATCCAGCCTGTGTGATGTATGACTGATGTTATCAGCATGGCTTTCTCCACCAGATGTTTGGCTGGTTGCTTGTTCAGCAAGCCAAGGTGTAACACAAGATTGATGGAGTTCATATTCTTTCTGTATTGCATCACAGCGATAGGTGCGTGAGACATTTTTTTTGAACACATATATATTTATAATGTGTAGTGTGTGGAGAGAAACACTGCAAGGAATTGAAGTTCAGGTTCAGAAATGGTAGTAGGAGACAATAAAGGAAAATAAAAATGGAGCAGGGGAAAAACTTTTTGCAAACTTTCCAATACTCAGACTGAGAAAGAGTAGCAGTCTGGTTAATGCATAAAAAGCCAGTTCCATAATAGAGATTGAAAATAATAATTGTGCGCTGTCTATCTTGTGTGCCGCACAATATCGTTTAATATTTAGTATCTACTATTATCTACTGCTAGCTAGTTTATTGTGATGGTGCTGTTTTTATTATGTTGCTCTTTTTTTGTTTGCTTTCTCTTCTGTTTTTTTTTCTCCATACAGGTGATCCAGGTGTTTCGTTTGTTTTTCTTTCTTTCTTCCCCCCTTTCTCACCGTCTCTTCTCCCCTCTGGTTTTCTTTCTCTCCCTCTGGTTTTCTTTCTCTCCCTCTCTTTCTTTCATTCTTTCTCCCTGTCCTATCCCCCAGTCATGTCTGTCCCGTTTGTAGCGACCGAAAATAAAATAAATTCATAATTATAATAAAGGTCAATCAAATGGACCAATATGGCAAGGCCATGATGATCCACTTGGTAAAATAAATCCGTGTGGCATCTTTCTTGGCCTTAAGACAACAATTCTGATGGCTAAAGATCCAAACGGGACACAAAAAAGAAAAAAAAAAAAAAAAAAAATAATAATAATAATAATGTCATAGTCCTATTTAAGGACGATCACCTGAGACAATTTTGTTTCACGGCCACTGCAGACCACTACCGTATGCTGCAGGAACAAAAT